GGAAAAAGATTCTACACATAAGCAAGTAGGGGAGGCCAGGATCCCTCTCCAAACAGACGAGGAGCCAGCTTACTGTGAATGGTGCAGTGCCAGGCTGAGGAAAGGCAGCAGAATGCAGATCCCTGCCAGGAGCCCGCAGCTGCCTTGAAGGTGTGCTTGCCAGCCCTCGTTCCTGCCCTTACCTTCCTCCCAGCCTCATTGTTGTGCAGGTTCATGAGTGCTTGGCTGGAGGAGATGCCATGGCTCCTCTCAGGGTTGTCTATGAAGGTTTGAGAAAAGGCAATCCCATAGGACAGGTTATCAGAGCAGCCTGACCATTGGAAACCTGCAGATGGAAAGTGGCACGAGATGAAAGGGGAGAAGCCCTGGGAGGAGCGCCCAAAGGCTGAGGGCCGTGGAGAAGGGAGGTGTCTCCTCGCCCGGTGAGAGTCTTCCCCATGGATCTTCTCCTCTGCTGCTCTCCCCCAACATCAGTGTCCCCAAAACATCAGTCTCCTCCTTCACCTTCGGGGCTGACTCCTCGGATCTTGCCATCACAGCCACATTTCTCCAGCTCCCCACAGCTGCAAGCACGAGTCACAGCAAAGGCAACGCTGGCGGCGGAGATGGCGTGGATGAAAGCAGACTCCCGCGTGCCTGCAGTGGGGCAAGAAATGGCACCAGTCTACAGAGGGGGAAGACACTGATGGGACGTGGAGAAGGACAGAAAGGCTGTGACTGCTGGCAGGTGGGATGCACGCAGGGGGAGACTGCTCGGGAGAAATTGCTGTCAGGATGCTGCAGTTCCTGAGGCCTGGAGCCAGCAGGGCTTTGTGGGGACCTTCTGGCTCAGTGCCCCCACCTTTGTCACCCTCAATTCCTGAGCTGGGTGTCCTGTTGAGGGAGAGAAGTCAGCAGTCCTCAAGGGAAGTGAAGGGGGAGTCATAGTGGGGTCAGGGGCTGAGCCTCCCATGGCTTGTCTCAACGAGCCAGAGAAACCCTGCCATGGCTTCTTCTAAACAAATACATGAAAAATCTGTTCTGTGCTATTTTGGGGGCATAGGCAGATCCTTTTCCCCTGGCCTGCAACAAAAAGAGACTGCAGCTTCAGGGCCAAAGGTTTGTTTTGAGCTGAGCTGGGCTGTGGCAGTGTGGCAGACAGGATCTATCAGTCTGCAGAGATGGTAGCCAGAATGGTCCAGACGGCACCAAAAAGCACAGCCTGGCCAAATGAAGAAGAATTTTAGCCAGAATATTAATATTTGCAACAGCACATGCATTTGGTTCAGTCCTCTCTGTGTTGATAGCTTTGCTGGCATGTGGGGGAAGGCACTGAGCTTTCTTGGGCTGGTCCCAGTATAACACTTGAACACTAGACCAGGAGAGGCTGATATACCTGTGAGCATACCAAAGGGACCCCATGTCAACTCTGTCTGCACCGCCTCCCACTCACTGACCTTGGATGGCAACCTTGCCGAAGACCTGCAGTCCCTGCAGCGTGGAGCAGTTCCACCGTTGAGAGTGAAATTGGTGCTGACACTCCTCGACAGCCAGCTCTGTGCCTCGTTTCACTGCATCCATGGCTTCAGCCTGCCACTGGCAAACACGGATCTGCTCTTCTAACAGCGCCGTCAGACCCTCGCAGCCACTGGGGTCCTGCAGGACTGCCCACAGAGAAGGCTGCTTGGCCAGGTACCTGTGGGGCAGGGGAAAGATTTAGTTACAGATGAGCTAGAGTTAGGGCCATATCTGTAGGGGACTAACCCCTATAGCCTTAATTTAGAGCAGAAACAAGGCAGGGAAGGGGATGTGCCACATCTTGTCTGTGCCAAATTGGATGTTTCTGCTCCCCATCCTGGTCTGCACCTCTTTATCTTCACTGTCCCTCCCCTTTCATGCCCCCAGAGATGCCCCTTCTCATGTGTTGCCTTTAGGTTGCCCAAGTTTCTTCTTTCACCCTTCCCTCACAGATCTGCCCACTTTCTTGGGAGACAGCACCTCCCCAGGTGACTTCTCAATGCAGATAGTGCAAGTGCAAAGCATACTTACAGCCAGGTCATGGCAAGGACACACTGCACAAGGATCAGTGCCACGTACAGCCACATCATCTCCATCCTGTCCCCAGCAAAACGTCACTTTCAGCCACGGTGCAGCAGCCACCTGAATTCAGGTGCCTGAGAGTTGTTTCCACGGCAGCTCCATCCCAGCACTGCAAAGCAAAGTCCCCTGCCCCGGCCAATGACCGTGGGCTGTCCTGGTGTGCCTGCTGGCATCAGAGACCTGGTAGCCCATAGAAATCTGCTGGGTTGGCTCTGTGAGCACATCTACACTGATGCTGTTCCCTACCTGCAGCTTGGGCAGCGTTGTGGGAGAGCTCTGAACTAAGGTTCTGGGGTGAGCATCCGTCCAAGGGAGCTCACATGGCTGAGGACCTCATTAGTACCAAACTCTCAGTCTCTGCCATCCTCTCGGGAGACGATCTGGTTGTCTTCCTCCATGATGAAGTCACTTCTGCAGCAAGAAGAAGCCTGAGACCCAGTCAGCAGCAGACAGAGCCTTCAACTAAAGAAAAACCTGGCAGCACCAAGCAGCTGTCGCTAGACCCACCAGCTCATAATTGGTTTGTCACTGAGCCCTTTGGGGAGTCAGAAATTTTCCCTGCAGTGACAGCTCGGGGGAGCAGTGAGGGGAAGACCTGTTGTCTCCCTCATCCCTAACTGCTGTCTTTGAAGACCCTCCCTTATCTGCCACCTCCAGTCTGGAGATTCTTCTTTTTGACCCCGCAGCCCACATAGCTATGGCAAACAGACACAGCCTGCTGCTCCCTGCCTGTCTTAACTCTTACTCTGGCAGCCCTCTCTTCATCCCCCTCATTTTCTTTCCCATGGCAAGAGGGAGAATCCTTGTCCTTCTCCCAAGCAGGCATAATGGGGTGATTGCCCCTCTTCTTAGTAGGTAGCCATTTCCTAAGAGTGCCTCTGAGTTGTATGACCATGGCGCTGAAATGTCCTGGGAGAAAAGCCTGCCATTCCCCCATCAGCTCTGGGAAGTGCTAGCTGTCCCCACCACCCTGGAAGGCAAAACTCCTCATGCAGCCCAGAGGTTTCTGCCTTTCCTGTCTGAATCATTCAGAAAATGAGAGCACAGCTGCTCTGGCCCTGCTTTGGTTCTTCCACCACAGCCCCACATGTAGGTTAACCCTTTTGCTGAGCTCCTCCACGTTTCCCTGCACAAAAACTACTTGGGGTTTATCAGTCATCCTGCCAAACCTGAGCAGCCTCTCTGTTGTGGCATGCTTTCCACCTCTCTCCTTGCCTTCCCCCAGCTCCCTACACCCCTTGTCCTGCTAGGTCCTTGCTCCTGCTTTCTGGAGTCAGCACTCTGGGGAGGCAGGCATGTTGGGATCTGCAGCATCAGGGTGTAGCCTCCGACGCACACCCCAGTAATCTGGTCTTACCTGCTGTCGACTCAGACAGCGGTGAGGAAATGCCGAGGGTTGCTCTGCTCTTCCCTGCGAGATGAGCCTCTAAGAGACAGCGAGGGGCAGAGGTGTGTGAGCCCACCTGGGCGGGGGGAGACGGAATTTGCAGGCTGACGCACCGAGACCTGGTGAGGTGAGTGACCTTGGCTGGGTGTGGGATGCTGTGAGGCAGCGTGGGCACGTGGGTTAGGCTAAGTGCTGCTGCGTCCTCCTCTCCTGACCCACACGGTAAAGCCAGGACTGCCAGGCTTTTCTGGGGGTGAGGGCTGCAGGGAATGGGAAAGATCCCACAGAGGGTGTCAGAGACTCCTTCTGCAAACAGAGAAGGACACCACCCCACCCCCTGCCCGGTGTATCTGCAAGCCTTTATCGGCTTACCAGAGCCTTGATGGGAACAGTGAGAACAAAAAGCTGTGAGAACAAAGATCCCAGCAACTAAGTGAGAAAGGGGATCCGATTAAAAAAGAGAGACACTAAAAAGGAGCGGGGTGAGATCAGTGGTTGGGGTGCTATTGTACCCTCCAAGAATTTACGAGCAGCAGGAACATATATTCCTTGGCATGTCACTCTCTGAATGAGGAGGCAGTGACGGCAGAACAACGCAGGCAGGGAGTGAGAAAGTCAAACACCAGCAGGAACAGCCAGCAGGCAGAGGAGGCAGGCAAGGGCTGCAGAGAAAGAAGAAGCCCACAGGCATGGCATCGTCTTCTCAGGGCAGCTGCTCCTGCAGAAGGGCGGCAGTGGTATTAGGAGTGTGCCCACGACCCATGTCTTCTTCCAGGTCTGCTGGGACTGGCAAAGCAGAAATAGGACTTGAAGTAATGGAGTGCCACATGGGGTCTGCAAAAGGGCAGATCTCCTCCCTTGGTGGTGCCAGGTAGCAGATATCCTGCTAAATCTGCCCTTGCACTTTCTTAGCACTGTGCCTCCTGTAGCCTTGAACAGCAGGGACAGACACTTGTGGCAAACTCACCTTTGTCTGCCACATTCACTGACACCTCTTCAGACTTCAGCTCTTTCTGAGTCCCTGCTGAATGCCAGTGGTGCACAGTTGGGCCCCCAGGCAGGAGCTCAGCCCTGAAGTAAGTTCCCAAGCCCATGAGATTGACAGGACTCTGACCCTTTGCACTGGCTGGTGGTTAAACCAACTTTGCTCTCACTTCCCGTATTTCACTTCTACCTCATTCAGCAATACTTTGGGAAAGGGGATGTTTTCATTTTTTCCTGTTAGTCCTGGGGGTAGTTGAGTTAGCATGGGAGCAAAGACGAGCAAGTATTTGGCACTGTGACCCAGGGCACGTCTCCTCAGTTGCAAGGACACCTGGGTGTTGCTCCTTTCACAATTACGTTTGCTTTCATAGGATGTGTTTTAGCTTATCAGCTTTGGATAGCAAAGTTCACGCTTTGTGGCCAGCCAGAATCACATCAGGAATTGAGAAAGGAGGGGAGATGAACTGCAGCACGACAGACACAGACGTAGAACCAGCCATTGTGTGGTAGGGGACGGCTGTGATTTCGACGAACAAGGAGCCAAAGAGCCTGCCTGGTTCTGTTTTGATTCAAGCGGCTTGCAGTTTTGGTGCCTGGATTGAGATTTCTGCAGTGAGAGCGACTGCTATCCAGCAAGCCCTTGGGCACCCTTGGCTCTTCACCAGCAGAGAGGTAAGTGAGAGGGAAACAGCTGGAGGGCTGGATGGTCTGGGGGTGCTGGGCATTCCCCCTGAGCTGCTGGGAATATGCTGCTGGACCTGACCATGGGGCACCAGGGAACCCTCTACGCTTCTTCAGTTGCCCGGTGTACCTAGAGTTGTGAGACAAATCTCAGTATTTATTCGAACAGAGGCTTTCTTGGGGATCCTGTGATGCTAAAAGCATGAGCAGCCTGCAGATCTTACTTGCCAAGATGCCCACAATGGAAGTCCTCTTCCACGGGGCCCTCAGGAGATGAGGGAGGGGTGACACCTCTAAGGAATAGGCAGTAGCAGTGTGATCAGACCTCGTGAGTTAAATGCGGAGGTCTCAGATTTGATGTTATGTATCTCTTATTAAAAACAAGCCATCCGAAGTCTTGAATGTCTTCACAGTTGTAACTATCACAATAATTTCTTTGTCAGAAAAAAAGGTGAAAAGTGGGGTTGAAATATCACCTACAGCAGATAAAAAACATCCACATTTAAGAAAAAAAAATGTTTTCAATCTTTAAAGCAAAGTTAGGTGATATTTTTAAGGTTTAGTGTGCTCTTTGTTATTTCCTCTTGGTTTCAGGTTTACTAAGCAAGCTCATGCAGTTTGCGTTTTCAGCTGCGCTGCTCTGTACCCTAATGCCACGTTCTCTGTCTGCATGCCCAGGACAGCCCCAAAGCACCCCAGGGTTTAAAAGACAAGTCACAATTGGAAACACTGACCCTGCAGCATGATTGGCAAGATTTTTCTAGCTGTCTTTTTATGTCTCATCTCTCAGCCCCATGCACAACCCTGTGTCCCATCATGCTGTGCTCCTTCACATCTCTCCCATGAAGAGAGACTGAGAGAACTGGGGCTGTTTAGCCTGGAAAGGAGACGGCTGAGAGGGGACCTTATTAACGTGTACAAATATCTGAGGGGTGGGTGTCAAGGGGAAGGAGACAATCTCTTCTCAGTGGTGCCCAGTAATAGAACAAGGAATAATGGGTTTAAGTTAGAACACAGGAAGTTCCACCTCAACATGAGGAGAAACTTCTTTACTGTGAGGGTGACAGAGCCCTGGCACAGGCTGCCCAGACAGGTTGTGGAGTCTCCTTCTCTGGAAACTTTCAAAACCCACCTGGATGCGTTCCTGTGTGGCTGCCCTAGGGGATCCTGCTCTGGCAGGGGGGTTGGACTAGATGATCTCTAGACGTCCCTTCCAACCCCGAACATTCTGTGATTCTATGATTCTACTATTCACCATTTTTGCGGCGTTAGGAGGCAGCGACTATTGACGAGATAGTATCAGGAGAGAAGACACCCAGGACCAGGCAGCGAGACACCAGACTCACATCTCATCTCAAGGCATGCCTCTTGTTTCAGTCCCTGTAGGCAAGTGCAGCTAGGGTTTCCCACCCCCTCCCCTAAAAGAAAAAACCTCAAAACCCCCATGGGTTTTGATTGTTCTGTGGGGCCTCCCTTCCCAGCAGCTGTTTTGCTGCCTCTGGCAAGAGGTGCCCACCTTGGGCCCAAACTCTCTCTTGTCTTCTCAGCCCAGCACCCCACACCAGCAGCTCCTGAGCACTTGGGGGAGGCACACAGCTGTCATTCGAGTGGGGTGGTCACAGGCTGGGGGGGTGTGGAAGGGGAGAACAGTGCGTTCTCTTCAACCACCTCTCTGGAGTTGTCTGTCCATCCTCCAGCATCATGTTTTCCTCCTCCCCTCAGAGATCAACAGCAACTGACTGTTGGTTTCCCTGTTGAATTCCCCCACCTCACACCTATACTAGCACCTCTTCCTCCCTCACTGGTGTTTTAGCTTCCTTCTAGTTTCTGCAGCTTTTCCTCCTCTGCAGCAGTCGCTCATAGCGTGTCCACGTGTGTGTACACATGTGCACATGTCATCCCCTCTGTCCCTGCTCCCAGATCAAGAATACTAGCAACAAATTCATTTTCCACCTGAAAACA